GCCCGCGCCCCTGCGCGCCCCGCCCGCCCTCCTCCTCCGGCCCCGCGATCTCTCCCCGTCACCGCCGTCCGCACACCTCTCACCCGCGCCCAACCTACGGGGGCCCCCGAGTCTGCGCTCCCGCGGACGCGCCCGCACCCCTGCGTCCCGGAAGCTGGGCGCGGGGTCGGCCTGCCCGCAAATGGACTGGGGGGCACGGGAGGGGGGGCGGGAGCAGGTCTGCGCCACCTGGGTGAGCCTACAGGTGTGGCTGGCGTGCGTCTGTCCACCCGTCTGTTCTCCCTGCGCTGTCTCTGGCCTGTCTTTGAGTCTGCCCGGCTAGGCCCTGGAACAAGAGGAACGGGGCTTGTGGGGTTCTGCGTGTGCCGGCCGGCCCACCGCACACCCCTCCCAAAGCTCCACTCTGCGGCCGAGAGGGGCGGGGATCAGACCCAGACCCGGGAGCCCGGGCATCCCAAGCTCAGCGCGGCCCGCCGCCGAGCCCCCTCCACAGTGCCCGGGCTGGGCACCTGGGAGACACCCTTGCCCCTGGCTTAGCGTGGAGCCCTCGTGAAATTTCTCCGTGATTCCAGTGGGCAGCAGTTGAACCTTCCGCAAGAGGCTCGGGAAAGTGCCGGGGGCCGGGGCCGGGCTGGGGGGCAGCATCAGGCCGGGGGGCCGGGGCCGGGCTGGGGGCCAGCGTCAGGCTGGGGAACAGCATTAGGCTGGGAGACGGGGCCAGGCTGGGGGGGCTCCACCTTGCTTTCATTCATGTCATCCGCTTCGACTCCACCTTGAGAGATGATTGTCCTCACTGGGGCAGCAGCCGTCAGCGCTGGCCCCATTTCTACTGCCTGGTGATCCTGAACAAGTTCCTGAACCCCCTCTGGGCCTCAGTCTGATGGCTAGCAGACCCCTGCCAAGCTGGCCCTCCTGCTAATGAGAGAAAAGCTTCCACCGGTCACAGCCACTGCAGCCATCCTGGCCTTAAGCCCCCCTTCTCCCCCCCACAGATAAAACACTCCATGCCTGTCAGAAAACTGGGGGAGATACCCCACTATGGACTACTAGGTTCTTAATGGACAATGAAATCTAAGTTTCTGTCCAGAAACCAAGAGTATTGACCCAAACGTTCCTTCCAGCCAGGCACTGGCTGTAACCCTAGCTACTCAGAAGGCTGAGATGTGAGGACTGACATTCATTCAAAGCCAACTCTAGGCAGGAAATTCATGACTTCTATCTCCAATTAACCTCCAAAAAGCTGGGAGGGAGTTGTGACTCAAGTGGTAGAGTGCTAGCCGTGGGCAAAAAAAACCTCAGGGACAGTGCCCAGGCCCTGAGTTCAAGCCCCAGGACCTTAGGCACACACATACACACACATAAATCCTTCTAACTGCATCTCTCTTCGTTATTTTTTGTTGCATAAAACCAATAGAGTCGCCGGGTGCTGGTGGCTCATGCCTGTAATCCTAGCTACTCAGGAGGCTGAGATCTGAGGATCGCAGTTCAAAGCCAGCCCGGGCAGGAGAGACCGTGAGACTCCTATCTCCAATAACCCACCAGAAAAACCGGAAGTGGCGCTGTAGCTCAAGTGGTAGAG